TGCATCTGCACCGTGTCCGTGCGCCGTGTCCGTGCGACTGCACCGTGTCCGTCGAGCGGCACTGCACGACATGGTCGTGCGCCGCTGTCGTTGCGTGCACCTGTCCGTCACGTGCGTGCATGCACCTGTCGTGCGCCGTGTCCGCTGCGTGCACCGTGCCTGTGCTGTGCTGGTGGCAGCCGTGTCGGGCGTTCGCGTGCACCCTGTCCGTGCGTCGCGTTGCGCACACATACAAACACCCATGCCGATGTCGTGCGTTGACGTGCAGCCCGTGTCCGCCGTGCACCTGTGTCGGTGGCGTGCGCCGTGTCCGTGCGTGCTTGGACACGTGTGCGGTGCGTTGCGCGCGTGTCGTTCGTGGTGACGGCGTGTCCGTGCGTGCGTTCGCCGCTGTCCGTTCTGTGACGTGCCCGCTGTCTGTCGCTGCGCCGTGTTCGTGCGTGCACGTAGTCCGTGCGTGCATGCACCGCTGTCCAGGGCGTGCATGGCACGCTGTCGCTGCGTGCATGCACCGCATGTCCGCTGCGGTCGCCATGACACGTTCCGTGCGTGCATGCCCGTGTCCGTGCGCACGTGTCCGTGCGATCCGTGCATGCACGCGCCGGCGCGTGTCCGTGCGGTGCATGACCGTTCCATGCGCCGTGTCGCTGCGTGCACCGTTCGTGCGGTGCCGGCACCGTGTCCGTGCGTGCCGTGCACGTGTCCGTGCATGCGTGCACCGTGTCCGTGTGCGCGTTGCACGTGTCCGTGCGTGCACATGCACGTTGTTCCGTGCGGTTCGCGTTTGCGACGTGTCCGTGCCGCCCGTGTCCGTGCGTGCACCGTGTCGTGCGCAGCCCGTGTCGTGCCTGCGATGCACCGTGTTCCGTTGCGTGCACTGCCCGTTGTCTGTGCGCCGTGTTCCTGTGTGTGTACCTGTTGTCGCTGCGTTGCCGTGCCACCGTGTCCGTGCGTGCTGCACCGTGTCGTTGCGTGATGCACCGTGTCGTGCGCGGACCGACACTTCCCGTGTCCCGTGCCGTGACCGTGTCCTGTGCGTAGCGTGCACGTGTCTGTTGCGTGCCGTGCCGTTGTCCGTTGCGTGCGTGCGCGGGACTGTCGTGCGTGCGTGCGCCGTGTCTGTCCGCTGCAACGTGTCGCTGAGTGCATGCACCGTGTCCAGTGCGCCGTGTCTGTGCGTGCCCGGTCCGTCGTGCTGTGCATGCACCGTGTCGCTGCGCCGTGTCGTGCGTGCCCGTGCTCCGTCGTGCGTGCATGCACCGCTGTACCGTGCGCGCGCGCGATCAGCGGTGTTCCGTTGCGTGCACCGTGCCGTGCGTCTGCGTGACGTGTCGGGCGTGCCGTGCACCGGGGCTGTCGTGCGTGCGTTGCGCCTTGGTGTCCGTGCTGTCGTGCGGCCGTGTCCGTCGTTGCACCGTGTCCGGGCGTGCGCCGTGTCCGTGCGTGCGTGCACCGTGGTGCGTGCGTGCGCCGTGTCGTTCAGTGCGTGCGCCGTGTCTGTGCGCTGCGTGTCGCCGTCGTCCGTTCGTTGCGTCGCGCCGTGTCTGTACGTGCGCCGTTGTCCGCTGGCTGTGCCGCCGTGTCCATGCGACTGCACCGTGTCCGTGACGTGCACGATTCCAATGCGTGCCGTGTCCTGTGCGTGACCGTGTCCGTGACGTGCGTGCGCCGTCTTTCCGTGCGTGCGTAGCACGGTTGTCGTGCGCCCTCACTGCACCGTGTCCTATAGGTGCACCGGGTCCCGGTGGTGCCCGTGTCCGTGCAGTGCGTGCGCCGTGTCGTGCGTGCGTGCGCCGTGTCCGCTGCGTGCGTTGTGCCGTGTTCTGTGGCGTGCTGTGACCAGTGGTCTGCGTGTGTGCCGTTCGTGTTCGTATCCGTGCGTGCACAGGTGGTCCGAGCGTGCACACGTGTCGATGAGTAGCGTGCGGCCGTGTCGCATGCGCTGTGCGTGACCGTGTCCGTGCGTGCAGACGATACAAACAAAAACGATAGATAAACAAAAAAAAAAAAAAAAAAAAAAAAAAAAAAAAAAAAAAAAAAAAAAAAAAACAAAAAAAAAAAAAAAAAAAAAAAAAAAAAAAAAAAAAAAAAAAAAAAAAGAAAAAAAAAAAAAAAAAAAAAAACAAAAAAAAAAAAAAAAAAAAAAAAAAAAAAAAAAAAAAAAAAAAAAAAAAAAAAAAAAAAAAAAAAAAAAAAAAAAAAAAAAGTAGAAAATAAAAAGAAAAAAATAGGTGAGAGAAAAAAAAAAAAAAAAAAAAAAAAAAAAAAAAAAAAAAAACAAAAAAAAAAAAAAAAAAATGTTCGTGCGTGCGCGTGTCCGTGATGTGCACCGTGTCCGTGCGGTGCGTTGCGCAATGACACCTACACCCAACCAAAAAAAAAAAAAAAAAAAAAAAAAAAAAAAAAAAAAAAAAAAAAAAAAAAAAGAGATACAGATAAAAGACACAGATGCCGAAATACACACCCCGTGATCAAGGGGTTGAGATAGAAAAAGATAACCGTAGTACGATGAAAGCTGAGATGACACAAGATAGATACATAAGTAAGCACAGAAAAAATAAAGAACAGATAGAAAGAAGAGAGTAAAAGAAAAATGCGAAAAAAAAAAAAAAAAAATGATAGTAGTAGATTAGTAGCAGAAAAAAAATAGACACAAAGATGAATATAGTAGACGATAAGCGTGACACGACAGCTAGTACAGTAAAGCAGATCGAGATTGCACGTGTCCAAAACGTTAGCAAAGTGCGTCGCAATACGTGTCGCGCGCGTGCAAAGTGCACGGTGTCCATGCTTGCGCCAATTGCCGTGACCAGTAGATAGACAACCGAAGCAGAGACAGTAGAGATGAAAATAAGACCGTGTCGTGCGAATGACACCGTGTCCGTTGCGTGCAGTGCGTTTACGATATCGTAAGCGATGCAGTTGCAGTGAACGTGCGTGCATGTGCGATGCGAATTGAGTAGCACGCAGACGGTATAAACTCAGATAAACGATAGAGGGAACGACTTAAAAAAGAGATATACAGAATAGTTACAAAAGAAAAAATCAAAACGTAATTACCGATAAAGACTAGAACACAGACAAACAGCACGCAAACACAAACGCAACCGCACGCACGCACAAGCAAGAATAAAAGAGACAAAAGAGATAGAGAAGAGCGTACGCGACACGAAAAGCAAAAACGCACGCACGCAACGCAACAGCCACGCAACACACAGCACACAACGTACGACAACGCCAACCGCACCGCAACACACGAACGACAACGCAAACGCACGCAGCGCACCACGCCCCACGCACGCACATCAGATCACACGAATGCCGCACGCACCGCACGACCAACGCAACGAACAACGACAGTGACAATGAAACGCAGTGTACTACTGCGCAGCAAAAAGACGATAGCCAGAATACGAAATAACTATAGATGCAAAAAAAGCAAAATGTACACGCGAAGAGCAGAGCACATTAATCATACAAATACGGACTGATGAGAAAGAGAAATTCTCGCGACCAAGCTGCAGTGCACGCGTAGCGACACAGACGTACCAAGTGCGGCCGTCTCAATCCCTCATCTCAGTATGCAAGATATTATGCGTTACGTACGTGGCGCTGCGTGAGTGGTGTGGACGTGTGAGCGGATCTTTGCAGTGGCGTGCGTGCGAAGTTGAACGCCAGTAGGTACGTGACGTGCCTGTGCGCGTAGGTGCGTGTGTGAAGTTGCGTGCGTGCGTGTGTGAGTTCGTCGCGACTGCGGTGCGCTGCGTGCCGGGCGTGCGTCGCGTGCGTTGCATTCGTCGCGCGGGGTCACGGGACATCTAATTAAGGGCGTAGCAAGCAACAGCGCACGCAGCAAGCAGCAGCAAGTAGCAGCCAGTAGTGCCAAGCAGTAGCAGCGCAGCAGCACAGTAGCAGCAGACAGCAGCGCCAGCCAGCTAGCAAGCAGCCGCAGCCCAGCAGCAGCCAGCGCCAGTAGCAGCCAGCCGCGAGACACAGCGAGTAGCAGCAAGTAGCAGCGCGCAGCAGCAGCAGCAGCAGTAGCTCAGAGCCAGCCACAGCAGTTAGCAGCAGCCGCGCAGCCCGCAGCAGCAGTAGTAGCCAGTAAGCAGAAAATAGCAGCAGCAGCCGCAGCAGCGCGAAGGTAGCAGTAGACAGTTAGCAAGTAGCAGTTAGCAGCAGGTAGCAGCCGCAGCAGCGCAAGGCAGTAGCAGCAGTAGCAGCAGTGCAGCAGTAGCAGCAGTAGCAGCAGCCACCAGACAGTAGCGAGCAGTAGGCAGCCGCAAGCAGTAGCAGCAGTAGCACCGCAGCCTGTAGCAGTAGTAGCAGCCGCAGCCAGCGCAGTATGCAGCCGCAGTAGGCAGTCGCGCGTAGCAAGGCAGAGGCAGCAGCAGCAGACCAGCAGTAGCAGCAAGCGAGCAAGCGCAGGCGTAGTAGAGCGCAGCAGTAGCAGCGCAGCAGTAGCAATAGCGCAGCAGCAGCGCCAGCAGCCAGCCAGTTAGCAGCAGCACAGATAAAAAAACAGCAGTAAGTAGCCGCAGCAGAAGCTGCAGAACAGCAGCGAGTAGCAAAGTAGCAAGCAGCCGGCAGCCAGCAGCAGCAGCAGTAGCAGCGTAGAGCAGCAGCCAGCACAGCCAGCGTAACGCCAGCAGCAGCACAGCAGGACAGCCAGGTAGCAGCGCAGCAGCCAGAGCGTATAGCAGTCTACAGTTTATCTCGCCCCGCCGACATGCAGCAAGCAAGCAAGCCGTAGTAGTGCGCGAGTCAGCGTGTGTGCGCGTGCGAGTCCGAGCGAGCCGAAGGAAGGCGGGGCATGCTCCGTCTCCACGAATCACGGCCCGCGCCGCCCGCAGCCCCGCATGATTGACAGCTCCGCCGCATGAATATTGCATGCGAGGGGCGGAGCGGGCGGAGTAGACAATTGCTAATCACTTCAGGTATACGTGCGTATAAAGCCGCTCATCGTCCCGAAAGCAGAGCAGATCCGTCGCATGCACTGAAGCCCTAGATGCGAACTGGCAGCAGCGTGCTGCGCGGGCACAGACACACACACACACACCCACACACACACGCGCGCACCCGTTCGCGAGCACCCGGGCAGCAAGACGAGCCAACCGTCTGCGTATACGTGCGTGCTCGCGTCCGCCGCTCTGCATAAACATCGTTATACATTACCGTACCTCCTCCTCGCTGTCGTCGGCACATCGTCGTCACCACCACCACCACCACCGTCGCCACACCAGCACCATGCTCATTGCGTCGACGGTAAATCAGCTGTCGCAGTTCGGGACGAGGTTTGGCGACCACGGCACATCATTGCAGCCGACGTTTCAGACGAACGCTTCCGCCTCGATGCAGCGTTCACCGTTCGGCATCCAGGAGCTACTGGGGTTGGGAGGCGGCCAGCATAGCGGGCCCGACCGGCGGCACGAGCCGACGATGTCGCTCCCAAGCGTTCCCGTCAGCAGCATGTACTCGACAGTACCTGTGTCGTTAAACAGTGGCCAGTACACGGGCTTCACAGACCCGTCTCAGTCGTACTTCGCCAAACCGCCGACATTTCTGCCGAACTTCTCGTCGTCGGCTGCGTCGCTGGCGGGCCACGGCGGTCAGCCGCTATTGAACTTTGGAGCAGCCGGGAGCATGCATAACGTCAATTCGTTACCGTCGTTACAACACCACGCTTCTTCAGCCAAAGGTAAGCAGCAACCGTAGCATCTTCGTTCGCCCGCGCGTACAGTGTGACTCTAGAGTAAGTGTTAGAGAGAGGTGAGTGAGCGAGCGCTCACGAGGGCACGCACACAGAGTGTGATCATATTATGATGAGAAATGCTCGACAAAATGGCCGCGTGCAATATTAACTCACGAACTCTCTCGGGCTTGCGGCAGCGGTCTAATGAAATTTATTTTAGGATTGTTTTTGTTGCCGTGATAATTAGGTAATCCCGCTTATTTTATAGTATTTTATACTCCTTAGAAAAACCTACGACTGGCCTGCTCTGTTCTGTTTTATTGACTGATCTGTAGATCAGTCTCAGTAGGCAGTCTGTTTTCTTCTGTTTACCCAGAGCAATAACATCTGAGAAAGTATTAATAGATTATTCCAGGTAGCTAACGTGGTATTAATTATTGCTTCAAATACATAATAAAGACAGCAAGCATTTCCGCGCTTGCAAACTTCTAATAAAGTACGTTTGCTTTCAATCATAGTGCATGCCTGCTACGGTCATGCAATAAGTAAGGCTGACTGTCATCCGCACATTCTCTAAGTTATTCATTAATAATTTGTATTTACTGTGTTCTATTTGTATAAAATATTCCACTTATTTATTACATATATACACATGATGAATAAATGTTTTATAAAAACACTGTTTAAATCAATTTGACATCGTTTTACACCCGCACACGCGTACATCGCGTATGTGTGTGTATTCGCGCGCGCGCAGATGCACACACGTTAATTAAAAGTACATTTATTTATTTGTTTATTATTTTAAAGTCAAGTTGTTTATTTATTTAATCGTTTGTTTTCGATAATCATTGTATTTTTTATTTATTTATTTATTTATTATCCACTCGTTCCTTTAATTAGCATATTAATGTTAATTAGCATTTTAATGTTAATTAGCATATTAATGTTGTAATGAACTCTATGTTTCCACTAATTCACATATTTGATCATCTGTGAATTTCAACAACATTGAACAGTTGAATATTTTATTAGGGCACCAAATGAGATAAGAATAAATGTCGATAAGAAACTTTTAAAGGGCCTGTAGACGGTAAACCATCCACCGATATCTACCCAGTGACAAAATTATATTTAGACAAAGGTCTAGACATTTGTTCAAGACTGCTAGCATGGGATCTTGTTCTTACTGCACGAGCTAACCACGCTGGAATCTGTCTAGCACATGCAAATATAACAAAGAGATACTGTCAGGTAAGGCGTGCAGTTAGCCACTATTGGCACGCATAAAAACATCCTTACAAAGACGCTCTCACGTTCAACCGGGTTCTATCGCAGTTCAGCATTTGTCAGCTACTGGAGTTACGGCAATCAGACGGTATCTACCGTATCTACCGTATCTACTAGTTAGTCACACTATTGGCGCATAACACCCATCTACTGGTTACGTAATATCGATTATATATATATATATTATACTATGTATGTCGCTGCAAGATTGGGAAACAGTATATAGTAACTTCCTTGTCGATGCACTTGTGTGTCCGATACGACACGTGCCGCGGTTTTATTTTAGACAAGGAATCTATCCTGCTGAGACTTAATGTAAGGTGAACGCGAGCTTTCCAGAGTCCGCCTTCGCTAGCTTTCCTTTCCGTCTTCGCGAGCTTTCCAGTTCCGATCTGGGTATCTAGCATGATGCACGTCGCGAGGCATCGGCAGTGACCGGCTGAACAAATATGCGGCTGTCCAATAATAAACTACGGGAGAAACCCCCGCAGTGCATGAATGCTGCTTCTCATTAGAACACATGATGGGGTGGACAACGATGATGCGCAGACGTGCGTGCTACACCTTACACATCGCGCTTATTCGTGACCGTGAACGTGCGTGCACCGTGTCCGTGCGTGCGTGCACCGTGTCCGTGCGCCGTGTCCGTGCGTGCACCATGTCCGTGCGTGCATGCACCGTGTCCGTGCGTGCATGCACCGTGTCCGTGCGCCGTGTCCGTGCGTGCACCGTGTCCGTGCGTGCGTGCACCGTGTCCGTGCGTGCATGCACCGTGTCCGTGCGTGCCGGACACGGTGCACGCACGGACACGGCGCACGGACACGGTGCATGCACTCACGGACACGTTGCACGGACGGACACGGCGCACGCACGCACGGACACGGCGCACGCACGCACGGACACGGTGCACGCACGCACAGACACGGTGCACGCACGCACGGAGTCCGTGCGCCGTGTCCGTGCGTGCACCGTGTCCGTGCGTGCGTGCACCGTGTCCGGGCGTGCGTGCACCGTGTCCGTGCGTGCGTGCGCCGTGTCCGTGCGTGCGTGCGCCGTGTCCGTCCGTGCACCGTGTCCGGGCGTGCGCCGTGTCCGTGCGTGCGTGCACCGTGTGCGTGCGTGCGCCGTGTCGTTCGTGCGTGCGCCGTGTCCGTGCGTGCGTGCGCCGTGTCCGTTCGTGCGTGCGCCGTGTCTGTCCGTGCGCCGTGTCCGTGCGTGCACCGTGTCCGTGCGTGCACCGTGTCCGTGCGTGCATGCACCGTGTCCGTGCGTGCATGCACCGTGTCCGGGCGTGCATGCACCGTGTCCGTGCGTGCATGC